TTCATTTTTCATTTTTTTTTTACAAATCGGGATCTGAAATTTGGAGCGTGTGTACATCTTAGTGATGCGCACCTAATAAAAATATATAAAAAAATAATTTGTGAAAACAAAATTGAACATTAATCAATTTTTTTCATGTGAAATATTTTTTTGATATTTTTTGTAGATTCATTGATTTTTGATGAACATAAATTCCAAATTTCATGTCCTTCTGATTTGTATAAAAAAAAATGAAAAATAAAACACTACCAGACAATCGTGACCGTGCGATGAACTTTAGACGGTGATGAGGATAGGCGAAATCAAAAGGCCCAAGTGAAGCCCAAGTTCCAAAAATAGCATAGCGAGTGCGAAAAAAGCAACCTTCGCTTTGCTTACTTCTCGTTAATGTTACTTTCTTTATTATTTTTATCGCGCATTTTAAGCACTCGTTTCTTTCGCCTTCTAGTCTTCTTCCCTACGTACAACAGCGGCTAGAGTCCATCCCCCATATGGACTCTCGGCTATGGGGTCCTCAAAGGGCCCTAGCATGTCATATATCGCACGATGCTTTGGCTCAAGGGGGCAGTCAACAGGCTGCTTCTTGGCCACACCCCCCATTCAACATTCTCGAAATAAAAAATCAAACTGGAAAAATAATCAACGTTGTAGGACCCGGCTTACCACAACCAAAACCGGAAACTGGATGATGTTCATTTTCGCTTATAAGTGTTTTGTAGTATAATATATATATATATATATATATATATATACAAAAGAGGGGTTGGAGGAGAGGACGCAGCAACATGTATATTGTGCTCTCGCGAGAGCATATACTTAATATCTACTCTCTCTCTCCAAGATCTACTTTAGAGGATTTTTTCATTTTGAAATCATCGTTAGATAATTATTCAATCTTAGATTCATTGTTTTTTTTCTTGTACATAGAGAGTTTGATTTAGAAATTTTTTTATTGAGATAGTCTATAGGTGAAGAGGATATATCCCAAAATTTGAGATACTAAAATTACTCTTATATTAAGTTTTGGGATGAGACCATTTATCTTTATCATGAGGAGGTCGTGATTATTTATAGTCATTAGATGTTAAATTGGATGGCTTGGGGTGTGTCATGAAATTCGATAAATTTTTTTTTTAACTTTGAGTATAGTCTACGATATTTTTACAACCGTCCAATTTAAAATAAGATAGACAAGAATTTATGTGACCTCCTTATATCAAAAATAAATAGTCACTTTGTATACTTTCCCTTAAGTATTTGTTTCACGTTAAAATATTTTTCGAAAAATATTTTCACACGAAACAAACAACAAACATGCCATTAAGTTTTACATGAGGGAGTAAATGGATACTCCCATGAGATTATAAAACCCAGTGTAATCAAATTTGGTTAGCTTCGGCCAAAAAAGTCGAAGCAGTCAGCTTTTCAGGCCGCTTTCGTCAGACCGCAGCGAAGCGAAGCTTAGTGCTACTGCTTCAGTTAGATTTGGGCCGCTTCTGTTAGATTCGGGTTTGCTTTAAACCGATTCAACTGAGCTTCAGCCACTTGGACGTAAGCAAAGAAATATTTATAAAAAAATATTTTTTATTTTAAAATTATAATTTTAATTTTTTTTTTATTATATATAAATATCTAACTTATTTATATTAAATTAAAAAAAATCCAATATCTTTTTCATAATCGACAGAAGCACCGAATTGCTTTACTTTTGTTCCTAAATCGAAAATGACTCCCAAGCGAATCAACTTTGATAAAATCATTTGGCTCCATGCATACGCGCATTCCCCGAGCGCGTGATAATGACTTTCACTTACAGTCGCTAATGATCGGTCCTTGACGACTCATTCTAATTCCATTTCTCTCTCTCTCTCTACCATTAAAGGCTGTGGATTTCAGTTCCTTTACCCCCTCTCTCTCTCTCTCTTTCTCTCTCTCTCTCTGGACTTTACATCTTTGTTCAGTTTCTACTTCAACTAACACGTTTTCAAACTTATTAAGTCGCTGGGTTTTCATACAAACACATTTCTCGAGCCCATCATCATGAGTTCATGACTTTCTTTTACATCTCTAACCAGCACTTTGATAACTCATTCCACTTTACTCTCTCTCTCTACCCCTTTTGGTTGTGGACTTTTCAACTTTTTCCAATTTCTACATCAATTAACACATTTTCAACTGGTTAAAAAAAAAGGAAACGTTTATATAGCGCCTAGGCCCTAAACAATCAAATTAAAGCCTACCTCAAGAGTTTCACTAGAAGAAGTTGTTTTGATGCTCAAATATCATCAAATTGATCATCTCAACATCAAGATGCATGGACATGAGAAAAAATGAGATTTCAAGTTTTGGAAGTAGTGCATCTTGTAAGACATTTTTGGACCGTTAATTTTCAAGTTTTCATAGATCTACTAGATCCACACTATTTTTTTAACATTTAAATTTTATAATTAAAGATGAAAATATAATTGAAGGCTATCACAAAACTTTTCTGCATTAAAATCATATTTCTCGATACTATTTGAAGGTGGGTTCTAATTTGATCGTTTGGATCCTCAGCTCTACAGAAACCGCATCCTAAAAAAAAACAGTAACACATTTTCAAACTGATAGCAAATCTTTTAATCTATAAAAAGTCGTGTCGAGACAATTGCACAATTACTTATGTTCAAAAGAAAAAAGACGAAAAAATTAATTGTAGATCTCAAGAATGATAACTCAATGCAAAACCTTATTGACTTGGTTACTTTTACTCTTTCAAATGCCTTCCTCACTACGGCGATGCATCTGAAAATATTTCCAACTGTGCGGGCAACCTTACACAATACCAACACTTTTCATTACATTATTCAATGAATATGGGAGTGCCCATTCAAGGTTATAGTTTTCTCTTATCTAGTTTTAAGGACTTTTTATAATGGAAAATGTTTATCTAAGTGCGAGGCTTGAAACAATCAAATTAGGGCGCACCTCAAGAATTTCATTAGAAGATGTTGTTTTGAAACTTTTGATACCCAATAATTCTCAAATTGATCATCTCGACCTCAAAATACATGGACGTGAGAAAAAAATGGATTTTTAGTTTTAGAAATAGTATATCTTGCAATGCATTTTTTGCTCGTCAATTTTCAAGATTTTCTAGTTTTCATAGATCTACTCGATCTATACTATTTTTGAAGCTTTAAAATTTTTATAATTAGAGGTGAAATTATATTTTAAGGCCATCACAAAGATTTTCAGTATTGAAACCACATTTCTCGATACTATTTGAAGGTGCGCTTTAATTTGATTGTTTAGAGCCTCGGTGTTATATAATCCGCAAGTTTACACATGGCATCAACTATAAATAATCACAGCAAGCGGTACCTTACTTTTCAATAGGTACGATTTATACAAGACACCAACTATAAATAATCTAAGGTGAACCTAATA